TAAGAATGGATGGGTAACGGTGGTATGTGTGTTCGGTCTACAGATGTCCCAAATCCTCCCTTTGATTTAGAATTGACGGATCAACTCGACAAAAGTGTTCAGCTGTCGTGGACGCCAGGCAATGACAACAACAGCCCTATTACAAGTATGTCATAGCCTTGTCTTTGTCACCGATACGTTTCACCACCATTTCCCAAGCACTTTATCACATGCAATTGAAATCCCTTACAGAAGACATTTGCTGGCATTCTCTGTTTCATTACTAATAGGACAAAGACGTTGATCTATCACTCTCCTCTCTTCAGAGACTGAGTTATTCCTGCTTACAGCCTTTGGGATAGGACGCCACTTAGTTGCCAAAGATGTGAACTAAGCAAATACACTTTCCTTTTGTGTATGCGATCCGTCAGAATCACCTTAAATCTCCCCCATAGTAGGATGACGCATTGTAAGCTATTCATTTCACCCATTAATGCGGGAGGAAAGGAGAGGAGGACCAGGCACTGTTGTGCCAGTGTGTGTGTTAGGAAACTGAGATTTGGTGAGTAAAGTGATTTTGCAGACCCACAGTTGGTCACAGAGCTGGGTGTGGACAGTAGGTCTATTACCTTCCAGTGTGGGCCTCTTTCCTCCCCTCAGCCCCTGCAAAAAGAGGCACATTCCACAGTGTCTGCTCCTCACCATCAGGACATTAGTCTAGGGAGCAAAGTCAGGGGAGGGACCCCACTGTAAGGATACTGGAAGAGCTTCATAAAATTAGACTCTAGAGGTGCTTAGACATTTGACAAGTGAAAAGATACTTGAGAGAGTATCACAAGCCTGTAATATATTATGACCTTCAGGCATATGCTGCAGGAAAGCTAAATTCCTTTCTGACAAGTATCTCAGATTACTCTGAAGTGATGTGTGTGTTGATTTCTTGCACCCACTGATAAAGCAGAGTATTTCCGATGAAATTCAGCAAACACTTCCTCTCCATCTTGTGTTATTTCGAGGTATTCTTTTCTCAGCTGAGTATTCAGTCCTTGCTCAGAACCCTTAATCATTCATGCTCAGTCTTCCAGTTAATTCAATACAGTAGCCAGATTTAGCTGGTTAGGATGCATGGAGACCCTTTGTACCTATATTTAAATACCATTAGATTCCAAAGCATTTCTACTCTTTCATTCATTCACTCATTCATTCAACAGATATTTATGGAGTGCCTATAATGTACCAGGCATTGTTCTAAAACAAAACAGTCAAAAATCTCTGCCTACATAGAGCTTATATTTTAGCTGAGGACACAAATAAAATAATGTTAATAATGATATATTATTCTGTTACATATAATATTGTTATATATGTATATATATATGTAAAATGCAATACACATTGTATATGCATATATATGTAGAACACACACACACACACACACACACACACATTACTTAGATCTCCCTTCAGAAGAGAACCCGCCACAAGGAGTGTTGACAGCAGGCTCCTTCTGCTGCCCCTTCCCCAAGGATCTGCTGCAGTGTGTGCACATGAGGCCACGCTCTTCCTGAGCTCCTGCAGCAACTAAGGGGTAGAGTGTGAACTGGGCAGGCCTTGTAGGCCATTGTAAGTGTTGGAAGTCATTGGAGGGAATTAAATAGAGGAGTGATTAATGGATCACTCTGGCTATTCTATTGAAAATGGTCTAGGGGAGCCTGGGTGGTGCAGTCGGTTGAGTGTCAGACTCTTGGTTTCAGCTCAGGTCATGATCTCAAGGTGGTGAGATTGAGCCCCGTGTCGGGCTCCGAGCTGAATGCAGAGTCTGCTTGAGATTCTTTCTCTCTCTGCCCCTCCCGTTCATGCATGCTCTCTCTCATTCAAATAAATAAATCTTTAAAAAAAAAAAAAAAAGTGAAAATGGTCTATAGAAGAACAAGAGGGGAAGCAGGGAGACCAGGTAGGACCACAGTTCTCTGTGAAGTACCCTGTAGAACCTCAGGAAACTCACAAGGGTGCCTCGGGATATGTTTTAAGTTTTTGACTTTTCAATTTTGATGTTTAAAAAACAGTCACATCTGTCAGACGCCACATAAAGTACGAGCTCAAGACAGCTTATGGTTCCCACACGATATTGCGGTACCATATTGTGATGATGCCGTGCCTGCAAAGCCTTTGCTCTGGTAAAAAGCAAGTACCGCATGAAAATCAGTGTGTAACGGAATGAGAAAGGTGGTGTCTTAACAAGGTTCGAGAAGCTGTGCAGTGCCGAATAGGTTTTAAGTGGTGAAGACATGAAATTTATTAAGTTGTATGGACCTGACTACTTACGTGGAAGTGTTAGATATTTCTTTTGGCCTAAGGGAACCATGAAGAAAATTCCTGAGATACTGCGTGCACCATGAGCTGAGAAAATCTGGGAACTCATGAGTTGGGAGGTTTTGCAGTGATTCACACGAGAGAGAGAGAACCGTGGCTTGGGTTAGGGCCGAGAGGGATGGAGGTGCTGAACAGTGGTCAGATTTTGCATGTTTTAAAGGTACAGCCAACAAAACTATGGAGAGTAGGAAACAAAGAGGGGATCTAAGACGGGCTTCAAGGTTTTGAGCTGAGTTGTCACTGCCAGCCGGGGAGGAAGATCAGGATCACTCCTGGCAGTAACCAGCGTGTCATGCTGTTAGAGAGAAGCAGATGGAGTTGTTGAGTCAATGAGCTGTCCAAGTGTGCAGTTCAAGGGAGAGGCAGGGGCTGCCGAGAGAAATGTGCAAGTCACCAGTTTATGGGACTGGAGATCACCAGCCAGTGAATGGAGTTTGAAAGGCGAACTTGAGCTACTTAGCTTCGGAGCACTGCAACACAGAGCATTGCTACTTCACCTTTGTATCTGTAATTCACATCATGGTACATGGGCACATTATAGGCAATTAGTAAGTATCTAAATACCTATTTTTTTATGGGAGTAAACCATGTACATGCCACAAATTTTTAGTAGATGCAAAAGGGTATGCACTGAAAAGTAAGTCTTCCTCCTATCTCTAACTCCCACTTTCTCCAAGACCCCAGTGTTGTCAGTGTGTATTCTCCAGGAGGCAATACATGTATATTCAAGCATATAGATGTGTGTGTACGTTACAGTCCATCTTTGTGCTCTTACCCAAGTGTTCCACACTGTTCTGTACCCTACTTGGTTACACTTAACAATGCAGTTCAGAAATCATTCCATTTTGGTGGCATATGGAGTAGCCCCCTTTAGTTTTTACAGCTGCAGAATATTCCACTGTGTCAGATACACCATAATTTATTTGATCAGTGTCCTGGTGCTGAACATTTAGGTTGTTTGCAATTAGCTTGTTTCAGCTGCAAACAGTGCTGTAATGTGGATTCCTTTTCATGTGCCTCTGAGCATATGCATGAGCACATTTATTCAAAATAAATTGGTAGGAGTATCGTTTCTCAGTCAAAGGATATTTGAGCTGAATATTGTGAGATGTTCTAAATTGTCCTCTGTAGAAGTTGTGCCAATTTACACTTCCCAGGAAGAACGTAGGAGAATGCTTGTTTCCCTGTGTAATAGTCAATAAACTATGTTGAACTTTTGATTGCTGCCAGTCTGTTTAGTGGAAAGTAGTATCTCCTGATCTTTAATTTCTCCTGTTATGGGAAAAAAAAAAAAAAGAAACCCTAAGCATCTTTTCATATATTGAAACTTTCCTAAGGATATGGAGACCACTTCTAGACAGATTTAAGTAACTCAACTCAGCATGCTAGAGAAAGAATACTAAATATTATTGGGTATGCTTAAATATTGAGGATACTGATAGAACTCTTAAATCAAAATGTTCTTACAGAATTTTTCTTGAAAGTGAAATAACCAATGTTCAGCTACTCTTGTTAGATTGTTCTGTTCGTTATCCTCGAACGTACCCTCGGGTGGCTGACCTCACTGTCTTGGGTTCTGTGTGTGTGTGTCGTGGCCAGAATTCATCATTGAATATGAAGATGCAATGCACGAGGCAGGGCTGTGGCACCTCCAAACCGAGGTTTCTGGAATGCAGACCACAGCCCAGCTGAAGCTGTCGCCTTACGTGAACTACTCCTTCAGAGTGATGGCCGTGAACAGCCTCGGGAGGAGCTTGCCCAGTGAGGCATCTGAACAGTATTTGACTAAAGCCGCAGGTAAAGTGAGGCTTCTGTGACAGGAAATGAAGTAGAAAAGTTTTCCACTGTTTTAAAAAAAAGACCCAAACTTACACATATGTGGCTGCTTAACTTCCAGAACCTGATACAAATCCCACAGCTGTGGAAGGACTGGGATCAGAGCCTGATAATTTGGTGATTACCTGGAAGGTGAGCTCAGCATGAAGCCTTCAGCTTTTCTCAGTGTATCTTAGAGTGGGGGAAAAAAAAAAAAGGTGTTTTTAAACAATGTCTGTATTGGGGCGTCTGGGTGGCTCAGTTGGTTAATAAGCTTCTGACTCAATTTCGGCTCTAGTCATGGTTTCAGGGTCGTGAGATTGAATCCTGTGTCGAGGGGCTGCTTGCGATTCTCCCTCTCCCTCTGTCCTCCCCCCTCCCACTTGCGTGCTCTCTCTTTCTCTCTCTATAAACAATGTATTAAAATCCCATTTCATCCATTTTGGGAAAAAATATATATTACATCTCTTTCTTTAAGAGATATTGTGTAGCAGTTAAAAGCTTAATCCTTGGAGCCCAAATGAATGGATGCAAATCCCAGCTTTGCCACTCACGGTGTGACTTTAAGCCAGTTGCTTAACATCACCATTATGTATCTGTATGATGGGACAAGTCATAGAACCAACCTCACACAGTAAAAGGAATAAATACATATAGACCCTAGAACAGTGCCTAGCACATATATGTGCTCAACAAATGCTAGCTGGTATTATCATCATCATAGAGAACCATCTAGAAGATATGTACCAAGTTATTCCAAGTAGTCAACTTCTTCTTCTGCCTCTGCTTTTCTCTCTCTTTTTTCTGGTTTATCCATATTTTCTGGATTTGGAAAATTAACATATTCACTTGGGTGATTTTAAAACTTATTTTAATAGACCTCTTCATGCACTTATATGCATACATACTCATACATATTTATATACATACCAACGTGTAAAACAGGATAGACTGACAAGCCAATTTTTTTTAAGATTTTATTTTAAGTACTCTCTACACCCACTGTGGGGCTCGAACCCACAACCCCGAGATCAAGAGTCGCACGATCCTCCGACAGAGCCAGCCAGGCGCCCCAACAAGCCAACTTTTTTTTTTTTTTTTAATAAAGAAAGAAGCAATTCACAAGCTTCTGGCTCTAAGTAAAATAGAGAATGATGTACTGTCACACAGACAGGGATATATAAAGGAAACTATGTAACTGAAATGCTCTAAGTCACCCACCCTTGACTGTGGAGCCAGTTTGAGAGGCTTATGTAGTATGCACAACTTCAAGATAGAAATTAACAACCTTTGAAATGTTGATCCCAAACAAGCTTTGAATCTCAGCACGAATGAAAAAAAAAAAAAAAGATAAAAGGTCCCTGGAAGACATTGTTAATAGCTTGCATTTTAACATTTCAGTGCTCACTTTCCTTAAGTCTGGGAATTGAATTTGGTGTTCCGGGGAAAAGGTTGCTCAATCTGTCTGTTTTATAAGCTCTGATTATTTGGCTTTTCTTACAGCCCTTGAATGGTTTCGAATCTAACGGGCCAGGCCTTCAGTACAAAGTGAGCTGGCGCCAGAAAGATGGCGACGATGAATGGACGTCTGTGGTGGTGGCAAATGTATCCAAATATATTGTCTCGGGCACACCGACCTTCGTTCCATACCTGATAAAAGTGCAGGCCCTGAATGACGTGGGGTTTGCTCCAGAGCCAGCCGTGGTCATGGGGCATTCTGGAGAAGACCGTAAGTGTTCGATGCTGTTTCAGTGATACTTTCCTTTATACCAGCAACACAGACTTACCAAGGTGCAAACCAAGGCCATGTCCAGGGGGTGCATAGACTGGGAGGGACGGAGGTGGCAGAAATTTTACTGAACATTCCTGAATGCAAACAGTCTGCTATGTAAAAAATAGGTTCAGAATGTCAAGTGTCGTTACTTTTAAAAAGATACATCATTCTCACCAAGTCAGATGAACAGATACAAAAAAAAAAGAAAAAAAATCTACTCTCAATCCTTGATAATCCATAGAATAAAGCTGGGTCATACTTCAAGCCAAAATTGTTAGTGGCATTTTTGCATGAAATTGCAAAATAACATTTTTACTTCTGCCCCCTTTCCTCTTTTTCCCTAGTCCCAATGGTGGCTCCCGGAAATGTGCACGTGAACGTGGTGAACAGTACCTTAGCTGAGGTGCACTGGGACCCCGTACCTCTGAAAAGTATCCGAGGACACCTGCAAGGCTATCGGGCAAGTGAAGGGAGATTTTTTTGCGTTTTTTCCGTAGGAACAGGCCCTCAGCGAATGCCACATGCACTTCTCTTGGTTGGAGGCCTTGAGAGTTCATCTGGTTTATCACCTCAGACAGGCCATGTCTCAAGAACCCCAGCTAGAGCAGAAGCAAAACCTCACTGCAACCAAAGTGGGGGTGGGGGGGGAGGGGGTAAGAAACTTTTTCTTCATTTTTCCCACAGATGGCCTAAAATTCTTCCAACTAAACAATTAACAGAGGCACAAAATGGGGAAAACTAGTGTTTAAGAAACGAAAATACAACCAAATGCACCTAGCTTTAAAGCAATACTGACCACATGCGTTAAACGCACAAAATTGTCCTGAAAATAATGTAGGCATTTTTTAAAAAATCATTCAGATTATACTTCAAACTGTAGAGTCCCAACAGGGTCATTCTTATGACCATCATTTATCTTTGTTCTTGGGAAGCATGGAAAGACTGATGCGTACAGATTTGTGATGGATGTGCCAGGAACTGGTTTTGCACCCACGAAGAAAGTCACGGCTCTGGGTCGTTAAAACTGACCCCTAGAGATCACTTTTGGTACTGCATCATATTCCGTGTTGGGGTTTTTTTCTCTAACATTGCCAGATTCTGTATATATGTTGACTTCTCTTTAAACTTCTAAGGAGAATTTAAGAGCACTTATTAAACAGCAATTCTGGATTTTTAGCCAAAGGTAATCAACCCTTCGCTTACCCATCTTTCCAAAACCTGTGCCTGCCATTTAATACCAAAAATAAAAGTATTTATTAACGAAGTGATGCAGTTTGGCTTAGTGAGAAAGCCCTAGACTTGGCGTGGAGGATCCACTGTGGTTTTTGATTGCCCAGTGGCTGGGGGCAAGCCACTCAGAGGTCCGGGGTTCATCTGTGCTAAAGGAATAATAATAATAAAAGCTTCACCGTGGCTTTTAGGATTAAACTAAATGATATATTGTGCATGACATTGTATTAGCTCTGGAGGAGTATGTAAATACTGGCCAGTAATTTTTGTTTTTAGAATATTTTATATAAGTAAGACACTTCAATGGTTCCATCATCTTCCATTCCCTTATGTTCTAGAGAGATCTGCGTGGGTGTCATGCTGTTCCATTTATTTCACTCACGCTCCTCCAACCCAGTAGTCTATAGTCCAGCTGCATCACATATTCTCAATTCCATTTCCCTCATTATGTTTGGGTTTCTTCTGTCTTGCCTCATAATCAATATCTCTCAGTTTTGCCAGGAGTCTTCTTCTAAAATGCACCAAGGACGTTATCTAGGATACAGCCATAAGACTTGAATCTCGTGAGCAGGAGGAAGCTTGTTTGCTCCCTTACCTGTCCCTGACTTTTGCCCGTGCTCTTTCAGATTTACTACTGGAAGGCGCAGAGTTCGTCTAAGAGAAACAGACGCCACCTTGAGAAGAAGATCCTCACTTTCCAGGGCAGCAAGACTCACGGCATGCTGCCTGGGCTGGAGCCCTTCAGCCACTACACGCTGAACGTCCGCGTGGTCAACGGGAAAGGGGAGGGCCCGGCCAGCCCCGACAGAGTCTTTAATACTCCAGAAGGAGGTAGGGGGTGGACGTGACTGAGATCCTAGAACATACGGCGCATCCTGAGACGCTTTGCATTACAGAAGGGGCCCCACAAAGCTGGCATCCTGTCAGCTCGCATGTGGCCCGAGGGTACGTGGGAGGCTTCACAACGCAAAATGCTGCCCCAAGCCGTCCTCTCCTGACTTAAGTTTTTCTCCCCACTTAGTCACGCTGTCAGAAACCTTGCTAATTTGATGTTTATTTGGGTCATTAACTTTCTGACCTGCAGGGAGTTCTGTAACTTCTCTAAGCCTCCGTTCCTTCATCTGAAAAGCATGAGCACTGATGTGATAGCCTAAGAAAAGCACCTGGGAAGAAAAATAATCCTGTCAGTCGAAGTTGACTTCTCTCCCGGTGCACCTTCATCGTTTCTGCTGAAGTTGAGATGAGGTAGAAGGTTGGAAGTCTTGACAAAATGGGTTGGGAAGAAAAGGAAAAGCTTTGCAAGAAGGGGCCATTGCAAGGGGAGGGGGAAGGAGGATCAAATATCCATCGATGCAGGTGTGGGGCACAAGGCATTTGGACACAGGGACACAGAGCCTAGCAGATGAGGGAGAGAGGGACAGTAGAGTAAGAAAGATAAGGATTCACCCATTTGAATTTTGCTTCAAGCCCGTATTAAAAATGAGCCAAATAACTTCTGTGGATTCCTTAGGTCTTTTTGATACAAGTAGTTCACAGACAAACTGGGTCCTGGCTCCTTTGAAGGGCTCATGATGTTGGCACCTGCCCAACATCCTCCGAGGGTCATCCTGTGTCCCACTCCCATCCTATGGCAATTGCTTGTCCTCGGTCTGTTGCTCCTTCAGAGGTTAAAGGCTTCTTCCTCTTGAGGCTTTCACTAGTGAAACCTCACTGCTCCTTGAGATGGTTCAGGGAAGGTGTCATGGTAGAGATGACCAGTGAATTAAAGGATAAAGAAGAGAGGAAGTAATATGTCCACAGACATGATGGTATGAAACAATATGGCTCCCTCAAGGAACTATAAGTCATGCAGCCAGGAATGGTGAGGAAAGAGAGGAAGGTGAGCAAGGGTGGACCCATACCATGGATGGTCTTATATGCTATGGGTATTAACCTATAAGCCAGAGGCTCTTAACCTGAAGACTGTAGTCTCCTAGGGGGTCAGTGAATGGGTTTAGAGAGCTCCATGAACCCCCTAACTTTATTTTTTTTATTTTTTAAAGATTTTATTTATTTTTTGACAGAGAGAGAGACAGCAAGAGAGGGAACACAAGCAGGGGGAGTGGAAGAGGGAGAATCAGGCTTCCCGCGGAGCAGGGAGCCCAATATGGGGCTTGGTCCCAGGACCCTGGTATCATGACCTGAGCTGAAGGCAGACGTTTAATGACTGAGCCACCCAGGCGCCCCATGAACCCCCAAACTTTATATGCAGTATGTGTTTACTTCTCCGGGGAGGGTTTTTGGCTATCGTCAGATTCTGAGAGGAGTGGCTTAGGGAAGCTGAGAACTATGTGCCAGGACTCAGGCACAGGCCACTGAGGGCCTCAAGTGGGGCAGTGGTAGAGAGGAGAGTAGGGAATGGATATGGTTGAGATGTACGAGGTGAAATTGACAGGATGTAGTGTCCCAGGAGATGGAGGAAATGAGGCAGAGGGAGAAATTCGGGTTGACTCCTGGGTTTCTGGCTAGAGTGACGGGAGAGACAGGGGTGCCATTAATGGGCCTAGGAAATATGGTGGGTGTGTAGAAGAGCTAGCGACCGTGAGGAAGAGCTGCCTCCATCCATCATCCTCATGAGGAAGTGAATAAAAGAAGACCGGGCATGTGTCCTCTGGTCACATATGGCCAGCCTCAGCCACAGAGGACCTGACACCCTGCGGGTCGTCCCCAGAGTTGCGGGGGGGGGGGGAGGAATCTGCCAGCACCACAGCTTTTGTCCATCACCACGAGATTCTGGGCATCTGTCAGCTCTCCAGATAAGAACCACTCTGCACCTGGGCAGGCTGGCTCATGCCCAGAGCCCAGCAGTCAGTGTGTTCTGGCTGTTTGGAGACACCTGATTTGTTGGAGAAAACAGTTCTTAATAGCCCAGAACACAGCTGCATCTACCCAAAGGTCTGGTTAGAATAGTTTCACCAGTTTGCTTTTATTAAGACACCATTCACAAAACAAGTACCGTCTCCTTTAAAAATATTGGTTTGGATTCATCTAAAGGCGAAGTCTTTATGTATTTTGGAGGATGGCTTTAATGAGTCTAAATGGAAATGATGAGAAAAAAGAGGACGAGAATAGCTGGATGGTTTCTCATCACGGGTTTCTGGTAGTGTATTTTTGGCTGAATCGGGAGCAAGAGTGAGTTACAGAAAACCTTGGTGAATGGTGTGAACATGGTGTAGCATGTCACCTGAATACATACTGAAACATCCAAAAACCCTTTTGTTGACTCTCTGTTCTCACTCCAAGTCCCCAGTGCTCCATCCTCTTTGAAGATTGTTAACCCAACTCTAGACTCCCTCACTCTGGAATGGGACCCACCGAGCCGCCCGAATGGCATTTTGACTGAATACACCTTAAAGTATCAGCCAAGTAAGTTATTGGGAGAAGAAAAGGGGGGAATATGGTTTCAAAAGGAAAAAAACTTAGCTGTTTCCTTAAAATACAAACTGGTTCTTTCTTTTTTTCTTTTTTTTAAAGATTTTATTTATTTTTTAACAGAGAGACAGACAGACAGTGAGAGAGGGAACACAAGCAGGGGGAGTGGGAGAGGGAGAAGCAGGCTTCCCACTGAGCAGGGAGCCCGATGTGGAACTCGACCCCAGGACCCCGGGATCATGACCTGAGCCGAAGGCAGACGCTTAACGACTGAGCCACCCAGGCGCCCACAAACTGGTTATTTCTTTAGCGCTGTAGAATATATGCATATACCTTCAAGTGGTGTTCTAGAAGGAACTTCATATCAGACTTCTAAAGACATATATGCTGTTGAAAATGAAGCAGTCTGTAGAATCCTACAGACCTTTGACCATGGGGTGGATGCTATTGTTAGATTAGGTAGGCATTAGTTATCTGTAACTAGAAAATTGTAAAAAAAAAAAAAGAAGAAGAAAAAAGAAACAGAAAAAGAGGGGTTCCTTTGGCACAAGGCCTCTGAGGACAAGGTTTGGGGTTATCAGTACATGACACCACCTGCAAAAACACAGAGAAAAGAAATGCTATTGGAATTCAGCCGTAAAATTCCCCTCACTTATAAGCGGGTGGGGACTATATTTCCCCCCGTTTTGCGATCGTGTAGAAGCTGTAAACGGCTAATGACAGTTATGTCGGGCAAGGCGTGAAGAGGATTACACAGGGAATGTAATCCAAGTTTGACTTTTTTGCTTGACACATTTATTTGTAATAGTATTCCTATAGCAATTTAATGGGGAATGCGCTTCTCTGTTATTTCTTATTGCCAGTTAACAGCACCCATGAATTAGGCCCACTGGTGGATCTGAAAATTCCTGCCAACAAGACACGCTGGACTTTAAAAAATTTAAATTTCAGCACGCGGTATAAGTTTTATTTCTATGCACAAACAGCAGCAGGATCCGGAAGTCAAATAACAGAGGAGGCGGTGACAACTGTGGATGAAGGTAAGATGGGTATGTATAAAATTCACGGAACTTTTAAGTGTCGTGAGACCAAAGTCTTTAACCTGAGCGTATGCCTTCTCTTTCCTTCTTCCCATGGAGGATCCATCTTACCCAACTAATGCGAACACTTGTTTGTAATTTCCCATCCTGACATCTATAAAGTCAGTTATTTAATTCATGTTAGAATAACTATTGGATATTTGTTTTCCGAGTCTGTGTGAAATTTTTAAACTGACATTAAAATGTTGAGGTGAGAGTGGGAAGTTACAGCATTTTGCCACACAGGAACTCAAAGTTCAAGGCAATGTGTTTTCCTGTCTACAACTTAACATGTATACATACACACACGTACACGCATACACACACGTACATACACATACATGTAATACACACATGTATGCGCACACCACCACACATATCCATGTGCAAATAAATAGATGTAATTCTTGTTCTGGTCTTGAGACACCAGAACATAGTTTGCTAGGCCACATACTGGTTGAGGATTTCTAGCAAGGAATATGAAACAGTAATGAAATAGTGCCTTTGTTTTGTGTTTGAGCACGGGACTTTGTATTTTGGTATGCCATCTGGTACAGAGAAAGCAAAATAGTCCCATTAGACTATCAAGAAAAGGAATTAATACTTCCTTCCTGACTTATTATTTTGAAAAAATTTCGATTCGATGAAAATGTCCAAAAATTTTATAAAAGATTTTCTGATTTTGCATGTCACTAAATCATAGAATTTCTTGAGGGTTATTTATTTGATTATCTTCCCTAGCATGAGGAATTGACATTTCTACCCAAAAATTGGTTTGAAATACTCTAAGCCTTGTTCCATAAGAGGGAAATATGATAATGCACCTTAAGGAAAGTGTGTATTTGATTGCTGGGTAAGCTTGGGGACACCAACATATCTCTGTCCCCTGTACCTGAGGTGGGACACTTCATTCTTCTTGCATGCTTTGGCATTATTAATAAGTGTTTTTATATCGCTTTACATGCTCATGGGTGTGTTACATCTAACTATATAGTGTCCTATTTCTGTTTCCCTTCATTAAAGCTGGTATTCCTCCACCTGATGTAGGTGCAGGCAAAGGTAAAATCATTCATCTGCATGACTTTATACATGTGTGAAATTTGCAATGTTAAACATGGCGAAGTGCAGCATGGGTTAAAAAAAAAGATATAAAATGAGCTTTGAAACACCAAACAGAAAAGAAGATCTCAGAAGATCTTGGCTTGAAAATTCATGTCTAGTCTTTTCCACAAGTAGAAAGCCACACACTGAATTCTACTAACCCTTCTTCACAAGACCCATCCCTGGTACAAACCCTCATCTTTGCTTTTAATGATGGGATTGGGGCTGGATCAGACAGGACCCAAACTGTGGATTGTCACAGATCCTCTCTGTGGCCACACCACATGCTCAGGGTTCAGAAATATTCCTCCTGTTCTGCAGACAGCCTGTAAGAACTCGGATCAGCCGAGCTCTCCGTTCTCATCTGATTTAGCCCTACTCCTTGTAGACACAGTGTCCTCTTTGCTGACATGACACCACACCGTCCATTCAGAGTTCCGGCTTAGTGATGCCCTCTAACTGGCCCTGAACCCACAGTCTCCCCACCAGGATCCCTCTGAGCAAGTCTTCCTATCAGCCTACATGCTCTACCCAGTTGTGTGAATCCATCCTGTCTTCACCACACCACACACATCTCTTCCCCCTGGGGCATAGTGGAGTACTTTTGTTCTCCTTTGTCTCTCTCAGCTCTCTGCGTGAGGAAGGTGTGTTGGGAGAGCAGTGCTTAAATCCACTGGGATAGGCCTTCCCCCCTGAGGCAGTCCTGAAGATCCTCCTCCATCTTTGGCCCTTGGCCATTGTTGATCTGTTAGCTTTTTCAAGAGCTGGGAGTCCCAGCCACAGGGCACTGTTTTCCTGTGGAGTCCCCCTGGCCAGGGGTGGTCTTAAACTTTGACAGACTTGAGTACAAACAGGAATGAAGAAGAAGACCAAGAGAAAGAAGTGCCTTGCCCGAAATTACTCAGATCTTGTGTGAGTAAGCCTGATTCAGATCTTTTATTCTTTTTTTTTTTTTAAGAAATCCACTTACATTCATAGCCTTGGTAAATAATAAACTGTATATCAAATAGATTTTGAAGTGACTGAATACAATAGCCACGGTCAGTAATCTTAATAATGTTATCTGTGTGCTTTGAGTCTTGAAAGAACGAGGCTGTGAAAATTCAAAATTTCCACAGTATGGTAGAAAGATAGAAGCCTCCCCCTTACGTGTATGCGCCTTGCCAGGCTTAATTAGATATCAATTAAGGTCCTTGGTTGTGTTACAATAATTCCCTGCTATGTTCCCCTGGTAACCTTTCACTGAAGCATTCCAGAGAAAGCCTGGCCTCCTTCCCGATGCCGGTGGACGCGTCCCCAGGGCTCTGCCTGGAGTCAGTAGCTGCGTTAATTGCGCTGTAAGAGGGCTGTCTGTGAGTGAGCCTGAGTTTCCCACTGACTTGCCATGGTAGAAGACAGCATGCATTCACTGGAAAAAAGAATTATCCACTGATGTTAATGAATTAAAACCAATTAAGAGAAATCCTTATTAAAATAGTTTAGGTTCTACCATTTAATGTTACTAAATTGAATTGTGAGTTGCTTACGATGATGGAGACAAGCAAAAATGGACTGTCGGAAGGTTCACAAAACCCCTGATGTTGAAATCGGGTGGATCTCAGATAAGAAGAGAAATAGGGTTTAAATGTGTTTTAAAAACCTAAACCTAGGGGCGCCTGGGTGGCTCAGTCGTTAAGCGTCTGCCTTCAGCTCAGGTCATGATCCCAGGGTCCTGGGATCGAGCCCCGCATCGGGCT